ACCTTTCATGCTATAAAACTTAGAGGGGGTGGTAAAGAAAGGAGAGAGAAAAAGAGAAAGGAAGAGCACGAGAATGAGAATAGTAATGGAAGTCAGAAATATAAAGAACAGAGTGGCTGTTGTTTGGATTTGAAGGTCAAGCAGTTATTAATCCTATAAAAACATCTAGTTCTGGGCGGTCTTGTATTCTAGAAATTTGTATTCATTTCATTGCCTTTTAAGAATCTGACTCGGTTATTGTAATATAATCATCTGTAGAAATCTGTTTTTATTCTAACAATAATCGAAACACCACAGGAACGATTGAGTTTTATTGTGTAGAGATCAGTAGTCATGTACGATTTTGATATAAATTCTCTCATAGTTTTTTTCTTTTCATATATTGAAATAAACATATGAGAAGAACATCAGCTCATACAATAATTTTTCAGGGGCACCTGGGTGGCTCAGTTGGTTAAGCATCCACTTTGGCTCAGGTCATGATGCCCTGGTTCACAGTTTTGAGCCCCACATCGGGCTCTGTGCTGACAGCCAGCTCAGAGCCTGGAGCCTGCTTCAGATCCTGTGTCTCCCTCTCTCTCTGACCCTCCCTTGCTTGCACTGTCTCTCTCTCTCAGAAATAAATAAAACATTAACAAAATATTTTTTCCATATCTTAATCTGCTGATAATGATTATAAACAATGTCTTTTTTTCTTTAAGGCAGATCTCAACATTTATAAATAAAGTGGAATGAAAATTAGAATTGACTCATGAGGGGCACCAGTATGGCTCAGTAGGTTGAGTGTCCAGCTTGATTTCAGCTCAGATTATGATCTCACAATTTGTGAGATGGAACCCTGTGTCGGGCTCTGCAGTGACAGCCCAAGCCTGCCTTGGATTCCCTTTCTCCCTCTCTCTGCCCCTCCCCCAGTTGCATGTGTGCTGTCTATCTAAATAAACTTTTAAAGAAATAAAGAATTGATTCATTAGAATAGATCATGGTTCTTCTCCCATAATAGTTGGTGGGATGTTCTAATTAAAGGACATTAATTATAGTTTCATTTCTTTTGCTCATCTTATTAGATTAAAAATTATATATGGACTTTATATATAAGTGTCTTGAATATCAAAACACTATTTTTTGAAACTATATCACAAGAGAGTGTAATCTACTTATAATTGACCACTCTGCTGCTTGAAATCATAGGCAATGATTCCCATTCAGAACATCTATATACACTTAATGCTACATTGTCTTATAATGGTGATAATAGCTATAACTATTGAGCAAAAATGATTTACTCTTTGATCTGTATATCTTTCATTTTGTCATTAAACAAATTATAGATGCTAAATCATTTTGGGAAGCTGAAATAAACAGAATGCTTATTTAATCACCTTTCAAACTTCAGAATAAAAAGTTCCGTAAAGTAAAGAGTGCTTGTCTGAAATGGCACTTTTGATTACGGTTGCACCTTGACTTCTCTTTATGCTTACCACAGAATGTAGAGGTTTAGGTGATGTCTCAACCAGAAAAAAAGCTGAATTATACCCAGAAAGAATTAGTGTCTTTACATGCTCTGGTCTAGTAGGATTCACTATAGTCAAATTGATTCTGTAGAAATTTAGATTGTTCTGTAATGTTTCTTGCTATTTGCTTCGATATGAACATAGGCAAGATGTGAAAAGGTGGTAGAATATTAAACAACTCACATTTCTGAATATTTTAGTTACAATTCCAATTTATGTCACAGTAAGAATTATAAAATAGAAGGTGAAAAGAAACTCCTAAAATTCTGAAGGAGTAGAGTCAAAGTTAAAGTTATTTAATATCAGGTATAGGTGAATATCTAAATAGAGAGGAAAAACATAATATATTTAAATTATGAAAACAGACTGTTAAAGAATATAAGATATATCTAGATTTAGAGAAAACGTCTCTGATTTTAACCTAGGTATTTTTGCTGTGGAAAGTGCTGAGATAACCTAAGCAATCTAGAATTTGCCATGACTCTGTCATGAAGGTCTCCGACAGACTCTTTTCTCAGTTGTAATGAAATATAAGAAGTCCTTGGTGGGGAGGAACATCTTAAGAAATTGGGGCAAAAAGAAATGATTGGGCAAAATCAAGTATATTTGAAAGTGAAAACACAGCTGCTAACCCAAACTCCAGGAAAATATTGTCTCTTTATTTAATGAAATGATCCAGCACTAGCATGGTGCTGGTGTGGTTTGTTTCCATAGTGATGTCATACATAAACCACTAAAGGCTTTTCTCTAAGTTGTGTGTACCGAGCAACCAATGATTTTCCCTGAACGAATTTACAAAATTCATCCTGTAACGTATTTTTCAATTGGGTGAATATTTTTATTCTTGGGAGTTATAATATAATTAGCATTACATTTATTATTTAAAATTTAGGTTATAGAAATTGGCAAACAAAAAGAATATTTCACTATTCTTAAAATGACCTCTATATTTAATACTAATGTAAATAGAAAAGTTTATTGGTCTTCTTTATCCCTTTACCATACAAAATTATAATGTTAATGAATTAGCATATTTAGTAAGATAGGTAGAAAAATATTTTTTCAGTCTGCTACATCTGGACCTTAATTTCCTATTTGTGGTTAAAAAGATTGAACATACTACCATTTTACTTCTCTTTACACACAAAGGTGATTGTGTGCTTTACTATGCAAACTATTCTAAGTATTTTACATGAATTACCTAATTTCACCTTCGTGGTAGCTCTGGTCGCTCTTAGAAGATATATTATTAACCCCATCTTCCAAAAACTAAGGTCCAACATATCCAGTAATGTACCCCTGCCTTTTATAGTAGCCCTTTCCATCCTCACACAGCTCAGGATGCCTGAAATTTCAGTCTTATAATGATTCTCTATAGCATTGATTATTTCAATAATTTGGAAACTGGTAACAGGATGGCATTTAAATTCAGATACTGTGTAGTGAATTATGTTTTTTTTTTACTCTCTGGAAACTAATAGCTCTCATTTATTTCAGACATAACTTATGTGAATGAAATTCTCAAAGTGATTCCTTCCTTCCCTCCCTCCTTCTCCCCTTCCTTCCTTCCTCCCTCCCTTCCTATTATTTCCTTCTTCCTTTTTTTTTTTTTTTTGTAGGGGTGGAGAGTGAAACAGGCTAGCCCAGTATTAAACTGTTTTGATTAATTAATTAGAAAATAAAAAATTAATAATTTTTAACAATTGTTATAATTTTTCACATTAGGTGGATGGATAGATAAATCCATAGATAAAAGTGTACATTCAATTTAATATTTAATGGCCTGGTAATATGGAAAAGAAACCATGTGAGTTGTGGATAGTGAGCTATCAATTATAGATTTTCTGACCTGAGGGATGTTAATTCTGGTAGATAAGTCTTTTATATGAATGATCGACAGTGTGATACAAATTACAAGAGTAATTTAAGCACAAGGTTAAAAAGAAATTATAAGAATTTCTTGGGGCTTGCATTTGAACTAACCGTTAAGAATGGATCCTCTTTATGGTGCCTGGGTGGCTCAGTTGGCTAAGTGTCTGACTTCAGCCCAGGTCATGATCTCACAGTTTGTGGGCTCAAGCCCCTTGTAGGCCTCTGTGCTGACAACTCAGAGGGTGGAGCCTGCCTCGCTGTGTCTCCTTCTCTCTCTGCCTCTCCCCTGCTCGTGCTCTGTCTCTCTCAAAAATAAATGAACATTAAAAAAAAAAAGAATGGATACTCTTTTGTCAAGGTGGTATATGGTGGTAGACGTCAAGAACAATGGCAGCAAAGGCTAAAATGTGGACAAGTGCAGGTATGTGTTCCTGAGGGATGTAGGACGTGAGGGAGGAATACTGGGTTGCGGCCTAAACTTAGATGGTCTCTAATGCTAAGTTAAGGAGTTTGAACTTTATTCTCCACTGAAATAATGTTTTTAGTTATATGGAGAAGGCAGTAGGAGAAATAGATAAAGCAAGGAAATTTATCATAAGGCTAATGTCCTGGGGTCAGGACTGGGATAGAGGAAGGGTCTATATTGCTGCTTTCTCTCCCTGAAAAAGACATTCTACATTTTGTGGGTGTTGATGAAAGGGTTCAGCTATGTATGTCCTGGAAAAGTCTGAATCATTGATTCAAGACACAATTTTGGAGAATCTTCAACATTCCTATCCCATGGGAGGGGGTTTGTGGTGGTATATGTGTATAATTTTGACTGAAGCTGATATGTAAAAACAAAAACAAAAAACCTCTTTGGCGATTAAAAACAGTTGTCTTTCTAGTGCAAAGGTGGACTTACAATTAACGTTTTTATTTGAAAATAATTCTTCACTTAGCTATAGGTCTAGAAGTTAAGTATGTGGACCTTCTTAGCAAAAGCAAATAGAAGAATGATAATAAACTGAAAAATTGAAGTTAGGTAGTAAAATTCATATAACTTTTGTTTTCATGAAAACCTAACTTGGCTTCTCTATATATGTCAGTCACAAAATATTACAAAAGATTTAGATGGTGGAGTTAATGAATTAATGGTCAAAAAGAAATGTCAAAACTCCTCAATAAAAAGAAGGCTCAAACAATGTAGGAGGTTAAAGTGTTTCCCCCATACTTCCTCTGCTCTGTTGGCCTCTGTGCTTTTCCTTTTAGGTAGTGAGTTGGAACAAATGAACCCATTTTAAAAAGGCTTTGTAAAACTAAAGACATTTTTATACAATACTGAGCATTTTATCATTACATGCAAAGAAATTTCTCATTGGATCATTGTCTGGTTAAGGTATTTCTATCCCCTTTTTCTGAAGGAGTGTGTGGTCTTGAGTATGAAATCAGCAAACAAATGAGTATGACATCCATTTCAATGAAATGTAAAAAGAAAAGAAATGGCTACTCTATTATGTTTCTTAGTACCAGTAAGAACAACCACAGCAGACAGTAGTTAGATTGCCATGTACCAATAGTCCATGCTCATGTAGGACCTCACATTAACTCCCAATGTCTTGCTTTGTTACCTTGCAGAAATGTTGGAATCCAACAATGTGATCACTTTCAATGGCTTGGCCAACAGCTCCAGTTATCATACCTTCCTTTTGGATGAGGAACGGAGTAGGCTGTATGTTGGAGCAAAGGATCACATATTTTCATTCAACCTGGTTAATATCAAGGATTTTCAAAAGGTATCTTTATTCTAATGTATACCCTGTAGTTCCTTTAAAACATCTCGAGCTATTTAACAGTGAATTCTCTAGCTATTTAATAGTGTGATAGCTGAAAAAAATGTTTAAATTCATATTTTATCTTTTCAGATGCAAATAAAAACAATGCATTGATTTGAGTATCACAGATCAATGAATGCAGTAAACCATAAAAAGCATCAAGGAAGAAACCATAGTATGTTAAATGATCATTATAAGAAATACTGACTTAAGTTTATCCTTCCATAGTTATATCATTTTTCCTCCATAATATTTAACATCTGAACCATTATATTTTATATCATAATTGATGTCATTTACTCTCTGTGTGTGTATATGTATGTGTATGTATATATCACTATACTGTCAGCAAATGCAGAGTTTATCAATCATTTTACACATGCCTAATCTGGTGTGTCACCTGTTTTTGTAAATGATGATTATTGGAACCCAGACACTCATACATTTACGTATTGTCTAAGCTTGCTTTCATTCAACAATGCAGAATTGAATAGTTTTGATAGAGATCATCTGGCTCACAGAGCCTAAAATATTTACTATCTGGCCTTTTAAACAAAAAGCTTGCCAAACCCTCATCTAGAAGATCAGTTTTCAGTGTCAAATCTTTACAAATGTGGTCGTTTAGATACTAGTAGTCTATCAGTTTTATCCTTACTCTTTACAGTGTTTTTGGCTTATATGATTAATAAGTTCTACAGTTTGGAAAATAAACATGGATTGAAAAATTAGTGGAAATTATGCTACTGAGTCCATATGCTGCACTCAAAGTCAGTGATTTTTTCATAGTCAGTATTTCCAGTCATAATTCTCTGAGGAACAAAGATCTTTTATGTAGCAGCTTTTGCAAGAGTGCTAGTATAACAGTTTTTTTTAGAGTACATATACATCAGTTTTTATTGTACATTAGTTTTGCTGCTCAACATTTAGGACTTTTAGAGTGGCGTTTCCTAAACTTCTGATAAACTCTAACAGATTGGACAATAAATTTTAAAAAGTAAAGAATTGTATTAAAAGCTTTTGTCCTGGTTGGAGAATATTGCTTTGAATATCAAATGAAGATTAAATTCAAAGCTGATTCATGTCACTAACAGAGTATGCCACTGGACCCAAGACTTTTACTTTCCTATTATCTAAACTCTAAGATTCTGACTGCACATAAAGATTTGATTCATTATGTGTAGCATACAAAATAGCAATGATATAGTTAGAGATTAATATACGAGATTTAAAATCACCTTTGATATTTCTTATTCTGAATATTTCAATCTGTTTTCTAAGTCTTCTCAGATGATAGTAATATCCCTAAGATTATCTATTGTCTAAGAAAACTATCCATTTGTTTTACTGAAATGACAAAAATATTTAGAGTCTTTTCTAAAGGTCATAAAATAAGCAGTTTTGTTTTGTTTAGTGAACAGAAGTCATCCTTTTTATATAATGAGTGAAAAATCTAAGATTAAGGAAAAATTGACAGTTTAATATTAGATTATATCAGTTCAAGTTTTCATGTTTATAATAATTTTATCATTTTGTAAAACTCATATGTATGAATATAAACATATTTATATTATATAAAATATATACATACTATATTATTTTGTTCATAGACAATATATGAGCAACATCACGTCTCAGAATATATATTTAATGTATTTGGCATTTTTCTCTGAATAAGGAAGTAATAAGGATTCTTAATTTATATACTTACTTTGTTCTAAAATCGAAAAGACTTAATTATTGTATGACACAACCAACTGTTTTATCAATGAAAAAAATTCCAGAGCTGTTTGTTTGCCCAGGATATAATCACCGTATCTTCTACCATCTAGACCTATAATATATATACTGAAGTAATAAATATATATATATATATTCATTATACACACACACACACACACACTGAAGTAATGGATTAATTCAATTTAGGTGACTTGCCCAATATCATAGTGTTGTTGTTATAGGTCCTGGTCTTGAGTTTAAAAATGATTATTGTAATGGAAGACATATTTCTAATTCTAAAACATTCACTCCAAACATACTATTTAATTATACCACACTGTCAAGGGGAGTAAATTCAGTTTACCTAAGAATTCACATCCATTCGTCTATTAATGTTGTTTTTAACCTATGTATGATGTTACTCAGCATTTTCTAAAGCATCTACTCTTGTAATAAACTTTATAAGGGTTTGTATACGATATAAATAATTCTTGAGGGACTTACAAGATAATATTAAAGATAAGATTATGAACGTAAAGGTACATATTAAGCCAATCCTTATTAGAGGTAACACATTCTCAGATCTGGAAGGACCATGAAAAGAGTCTAGGCCGTCATGAAAGGGTGATGTTTCTTTAAGTCATAAATGCTTGCTTATAAAATAATGAGTGAGAGGGGCTTTCATGAATAAAACCATACAAACATGAAGAAAGGAAAGTGTAATATAGATCATAAAACACTTTGAAGAAGTTTCTGAGTAAGAAATTTAGGCATTGCTAGTTAATTGAGAAATTTTGGGGCTAAAAAGAAAAAATATCAACAGGTAAACAAATATAACCAAATAGTCAGGAATTATTCTTTATGAAAGTGGATACTATTGGAAATTACAAATACATTTATATTTTTTATATAAAGTAAATAAATATATTCCACTGACTTATAATTATGCCCATTAACCGCTTTCCAAAATAGCATATTATATACCAAAATTTATTTTATTCGTCTCAAATTTTTAAGCTTTATTTATTTATTGGGAACTCTAGAAAAGTTTAGAGTACACACTCCTCTAAGTTTGAGAGAATTGAGCCTGTGTTATCAAAATTATTTTCTATCAACATTTTACATAGGAGAAAAATGAGAAAATGAGACCCATGCTATCTCACCCCCAGCAGTCAAGAGCAAGGAAAGTTTGAGAAAACGACTTGCCCTTTTCAATTAAAAATCGTATGTTTTAATAATCTGTGAGTTTTATAGATTGCAACTGGCAAGCCTAGTATGAAAGTCAATAAATCTTAGACCTGCTATGTATTATTGTTGTATGTCTTAAATGAAATTTGTATTTTACCCTCCCATCATAAGCTTTAAATAGGAATAGATCACTTGAGCTTTCCATAGCCATGGTGAGGAAAGAGATGTGGAATGTATGGAACATACTACCCAGCACCCGCTCTAGGAATTCAGAAGTCAGGGTAATGTAAATTTTAAGGATGTGCATTTATTATGCTTAGATTTTTTTTTTTTATTACTGGATTACTTTGTAGGAACCTTGTGGAACAAGTCAGATGATAGTTTTAATTTCTATACACAGATAAACAGGAAAAGAAAAGCACATAAAAAAGAATACATAACTTAAAAGCTTCAGAGAGTAAAAATGAATGTATAACCAAAAAGTTTTAGGGCTTTTTTAATAGTAACACGGACCTGAAAAGCATTTGTTATGCTATCATAGGTTATTTCAGTATGTCCTAAAGTCTTGCTTATAAATGTGTTTTATTTTGTTATTTGATTCCCTAGATTGAATATCACAGCCCTTGCACAAGTTTATGACTATTTATACTGAATTATCTAGAGGCTCCCAAATAAAAGATGATCAGTCATTTTGAGACTGACAGCAGACATGAATGAGTGACTACACTATGTCTGGAATTTTTTTTTACATGACACTTTTTTCTGCAATTAACTGTTACCAGAAGAGAAAGATGAATTAAAAAAAATTGCACATTAAATTGTTCTGCCCCAATACAGATAGGAGACATTATATTGCCCTGGGGAACTGAAAAAATTTATATTAAAATTTAGATGAGAGTATTTGCATTAATATTATGAAGAAAAATATATCCACTGTCCTCTACACCACCAATAATGTCTTGGCATGCCTACCACCAATGATTACTGCCTGTCATTGTAATCATACAATATAGAAACCTTTGGAATTTAACATAAATGTTATCAAAGAATGAAGGGGAAATTTTAGGGATGAAACAATTATTTTTCAATTAGTCTGAGTTTTTCCCACAGTGGCAGAGTTTTTAGAGCTATCTATTTGCTTTTTCATTTCCTTCTTTATCTCCAGAAAGTATATAATGCTACTCTTCCCTACTGTGCTGTGCACGCACACACGCGCGCAAACGCGCGCGTGCACACCCACACCCACCCCCCCACACACACACAATTCCTTTCTAAGATGACCCTATCAGTTGCTTATTCTAGCATGTCATGCTGAAATTTGAATTAGGGAAAAGGACTCAGAGCACCCAGTGTTTAAATTTAAAATGATTATTTTATAATAAAGACAGATTCTTTTAGAAGAATGTTAGCCACTTTTTATGTTTTTTTCTATATCCCTTCACTAGATTTTCAATCCTCTCAAAATGATCTTCCTCTCCCAACTGGACAGTTCTCTTCTCTGCACGCTGCTTAGAGTTATTGACTACATAAATTCTGTGTTGCTCAACTTTCATAAACAGCAAAGTCCAACGGGTAGGCAGAGATTGAATCATTTAATTCATACTGATTAACAGATGCCACTGCAAAGTCTAGGCTGAAAAGTTTCTACCACACAATGCTTTGTGAAACTGTCTTTATCTAAGTTGCCCCAACTTAGTCTAACAGACTATAATGTTGGCTCACTCCTGGAACTTGATTGGCATAAAATTATGTTTTGCTTTGCGCTTAGATTGTGTGGCCAGTATCTTATACCAGAAGGGATGAATGCAAGTGGGCTGGAAAAGATATCCTGGTAAGTATCAATCTACAAAATTATCTTTGTAATTACATAATTTATTACTCTGTCATCATTTTTGTTTAGTGTTATATTAAATAAACACCATGCTTTACTTGTGGACTAAATCACTTTATAGAAACACAATAATACTTAATTTTGGATATTGACATTTTTATATAAAGAAAGTGGGTAAAGGCAACAATATGCCTAAAGATTTACATATACACAAAAGATAACAAAATGCAATTTTGCAGCATATATACTTGTATTCAGCATGTCAACTTTTTTGTACAAATTTGTTTTCATGTGTTAATTATTCTTGAATTCCTTTTAATGATATGAAATTGTTCTACTTCTGAGTCATGATTAAATTACCCCTCTTCCTTCTTTGCATTCTATTCTTTTTCTCTTTTCCTCCTTTTTTTCTTTCCTCTTCCCTTCTTTCCTCCCTCCCTCCTTCCTTCTCTTCCTTCCTTCCTACCTTCGTACCTTCCTATTTTCCTCTGATTTCTTAAGTATGGATTGAGTAATGACTAGGTAATAAGCATTGTCTTGGGTGCTGTCGAAAAAAGAGGACTGGTAAGCAATCCAACAATGGTTTTACCTTTATCAAAAGGTAGAGTCATTTTTCCTGAGGTAAACGTTGTCAGTAAAATTAAGTGGGTCACTATTTTGAAATACAGCCAAGTATTTGCACAGATCATAAAAAGCAGTTATAATCATTTAAATCAATAAAGTAAGATGAATTTCAGGATTTAAAACATATAATTTAGGGGCACCTGGGTGGCTCAGTTGGTTAAGTGTCCTACTTTGGCTCAGGTCATGATCCCACAGTTCAAGCCCCATGTGAAATTCTGTGCTACCACTCACAGCCTAGAGCCTGCTTCGGGTTCTGCCCCTCCGCTGCTCACAATCTGGCTCTCAAAAAAAAAAAAACAAAAAAACAAACCATTAAAAATTTCTAATATAAAATATACATAGTAGATATTATTTTATGTCTTAGATCTTGTTGGATGTCTAAAATGCAAGAAAAAATCTAGATGTTTTGTATATATTGGCATTTAGAAGAAATTTATCTTAGATGCTTAAAGGCACACATTAACTTGTCTGTGTATGTGTGTGTGTGTGTGTGTGTGTGTGTGTGTGTGTGTGTGTGTGTGTGTGTATGATGTAGAGGTGGAATCTGAGTTGATGGGGAAAGAACACATCAGTCTGGTAACCGTGTTGGCTATTGGTGAAGGAAAGTAGATAAAGACTACAAAGCACAGGCTTTGATTAATTACATATTAGCAAACATGGCAAATTTCATCCTTGAAAATTTCATTTTAAATATAGTGGTGATAAGTTACGTTGCACTTTCATAGTACAGTAAACGTTTTTCTGACTATGTGAAAGTGGACCAAAAAAATGTTCCGTCAAGGGGCACCTAGGTAGCTCAGTTGGTTAAGTGTCTGATTTCAACTTAGGTTATGTTGTCACCATTCATGAGTTTGAGCCCCACGTTGGGCTCTTTGCTGACAGCTCAGAGCCCGGAGTCTGCTTCACATTCTGTGTCTCCCTCTCTCTCTGCCCTTCCCTCTGCTCATGGGCGCGGGTTCTCTCTCTCTCTCTCTCTCTCTCTCTCAAAAATAAGTGAGCCTTAAAAAAAAAAAAAAACTGTGTTCTGTCAAATATTAAAGTGTCCCAAGTTGATACTTGGACAGGAATAAAGAGAAAAAACAATGAAGTAGGAGTCCAGAGAACTCAGAAATGTTATGTTGATACCCTCAATGAGTCATTAACTATACTTATGCAAGTGCTTTAATTTCTGGAGTGCTTTATTATTTTATCCATTAAATGAGACATAACGTATTTTACAATTGTGAGATACAAGTTTAAGAGTTTTTATGAAAATTATTTGAAAGAAGAAAATACTTCATAAGTGTAAGGCAAAAAAAACACCCATAACTGAATATATTAAAAAAATTATTAACATCAAAATGCCATGTTTATCATTAACAGACTATTTTGAAAGATTTCAATGTGATCATAACTACGGATGGATAGAAATAGAGATTTTACTGGCATGCACCTGTGACTTTTAAAAACAGACTGTCTCCATTTCTGTTAAAGTTTAACAGGTGAAGACATGAATATGTGTAATTATAGAGAATCTTTTTCATGTCAAGTACTATGATAATTTAAATGCTATTGTGTAAATGTAATTTTAATGATAACTTTATGAGGTGGGTATCACTACTATTTTCTTGATCAGGAAATACAATGATTTAGAATATTCATTCAAAGTCTTTTCATCCATAATTTTAGAACATTTTGAGTACTATGCTAGAAGTTGAAATAAGAATTTCTGTGCCTCTCATGAAATTTTTGGTTATTTGGCATACATGCATTTGAATTCATCTGTTAACACACAGAAAATGAACACTAAAGTTCTAATAAATACTTCACCTATTCTGGTCACATCAAGGGTGTGAGTGTAATAACAACCAGCTCACAGTCTCACAGTATTCCTGTAAGACTCAATCATAAATGAAATTATCACATACACTATAATGCATGGTACAAATATTACCTGCTATTAGTATTAGTGATCCATGTACTGGGGTTGCTTAGGCAATTTCTAAGTTTAAAGATCATTCATGAAATTAATTTGATCCTCTTTAAAGATCATGACCACTATAGTGTTACACTATTCTGAATTCAGTTCAGTTTGGAAGTTGAAGATAATATGATACTTATCTGACAAATTATCTGGATTTTATAATGTAGCCAAGTACTGAGCATATTTGATATAGTGATTGAATCAGCTTATTCATTTACTAAGATGCAGATAATCTTTAATGTTTGTGGTTTCCAAAATTCACCTCAGTGCATTTCCTTTATCTTATATGGCTCTCTTCTCCTCTTCCTCTCTGACCTCCCTTCTCCTCCCCTCTGGTATCAGCACTAAACACCAAGGGATTCTGGTGTTAACACACAGATGCAGTTAGTTTAGCAGCTGCTATAAAGTCATGATCTGCATAGTGCTGTAAGGGTAACCCTAATTACGATCTCAGAGGTTTACTCTCTAAGAAGGACAACTTTATTTTATGTTCCAGGCTTATTGAAAATTCTTACAGGTTTCAGGGAACTAAATTGAAAGGAACTAAGACATACAGTTTGCTAAGTCTGATACAAGGTATTAATGTCACCTGATTATTTCCTATCACCTTGTAATATTTTGAAGACTTACAAATCATACCCCATACATTATGGTAGAGATAGGTGTGCATTGAGTTATTTAAATTTCTGAAGATTTAATGATATGGAAGTATTAGCCTTACTAATCTTTTCAAAAGTCAACTAATTAATCTAACATGATAAAATGTTTGTGTTTTGGTTATTACTTTGCATTCTATTGAATTATATCAATTCAATTGCTGTATATTTTGTTTTCTCTTTGTTAGCACTTATTCTCTAAAAGAAAAATGCAAAAGTTTTCATATATTTTGGTTAAAAATATATTTTTCCTCTAGCTGTAAATACTAAATACCAAACACTATACGATATATTCAAATAGGAAAATAGATTTCTTACTATTTTTCTGATAACCCATCTTATTCCTTTAATAATGCTTTTCATTGACCTATCATTCAAAATATATTTTGTACATTTCAAATGCATTTTATTAAAATTTATTTTCTTTTTAGATAACTTCATTTATGTACCATAATTTACATATGTACATTTCATTTAAATAAGATACATGGCATTTGTTCGTTAGTTTGGACTTTAATATATAGACACATTTTTCCCATTTCTTTCTTAATATATGATTTTAGAAAATAGCAATTAGTTGGCTTCCTGGATTTGGAACATTTCTTTCCTGATAATAAACATAAAAAACAGCTTCGGTATTTTTACCAATAATTTCTTAATCACTTAGCAAGAAATATTAAGGGTAAAGGGTTTTTAAGATTTTACATCCAATACCCGAGTTTTGAGGTGACGTGGATGGTTTGATAGGAATTCTGCACTATATCTTGAGTAAATAGTAGTCAGCTGTGACATATGGACAATAATTCCTTTCAAAGGGTTCTTATGAGGCTGAAAGCCACAGGAATGAGGTTTAGTAGGTTTTGCAGCCATCAGGACTCCAAGATAGAATTGTAACCAAAATAGGAACTGACCTGAACATTTATAGAAAAGTAAACTAATGACCTGCTTGAATGCTCTCCATGGTTTCTAGAATCTGAGTTTACGGTTTTCCTCTGGTTTTAGGGCTTCCTTAAGAAGTCCTCTAGAAATAAAGCTCCTTTAAACAGACTATCCTGGAGAAAGTGTTGTCTTTTCAGTATTGGATACACACACACACACACACACACACACACACACACATTTTCAAAGTGGGTCATTCTTAAGAGTCTGATTGAGATGGTTAAGACAACACAGTCACCTGGGAGGTCAATATATGCCACTAGATTGAATCTTCATAGTTCCTGTACATCCATAGTTCCTGAAACTACATAGTTCGCTGAGTGTAGCATCATACAGAAAATTGAACCCCTGCCCATCCTCCCAGGCAGCTGGAAAGATACACACCATCATTTCTCATGGCTCAGTTTTGTATCAAACACATATGTTAAATCAGCAGCTGAAATTCAAGCAGCTATCCACAAAGATGGACTTTGTGGTAAAGAAGGAATCTGCATCCTTAGAGACATTTATATTTCCTTTCTTTCTACGTATATGTGTAGATCAAGGGAGAAAGAGAATATAAATGGGTCTTAGACTGCTAGTAATGACATTTCTGACAACAACATTACTCTAAATTTATTTTTTTTCCTTTGGTGGAAGTGAATATACCAGATATATTCCTAATATGCTTTCTTGGGGTAGCAGGCTCTACACTTTTCCATTGCTGGGACAGGTATATATTAAGGGAGTGAAATGCTTATGAACTTTTCCATTGTTGTAACTTGAGAGTTGTAATTTGAAAAAAAAATTATATATAATATTATTGGACAGAGTCCCTG